GCAGGAAGCAGCCAATCGATAATTCTTTCTCATCATTGATGTTTCTATCTCTCCCTCTCCCTTCCTCTCTCTGAAATCAATAAAAACTATTAGTCAATCTTAGAAAAATAAAACAAGAAACCACTCCTCAACCTCCCCCCCCACCCCCAGGCCTTCACCACACTATTGTCTGTGTCCATGGGCTAAGCATATATGTTCTTTGGTTAATCTGTATGTTATGTAGGAGTGTTTCCATTTGTTTCTTTGTTTGTTTATTTATGTGTCTTAGAGGGGAAGGCTTTTAGTACCTTCATCAGACCCAAAAGGTATACATGAGCCAAAAAATATCAAAATTCACAACTCTGGGAAAATAAGTCCATTTGTTGTAAGAACAGCCTACGCCAGCCGTGGGCAAACTACGGCCCGCGGGCCGGATCCGGCCCGTTTGAAATGAATAAAACCATTAAAAAAAGACCGTTCCCTTTTATGTAATGATGTTTATTTTGAATTTATATTAGTTCACTCAAACACTCCATCCATGCTTTTGTTCCGGCCCTCCGGTCCAGTTTAAGAACCCATTGTGGCCAAGACATACTTGGAAGTGTTAACATTTTTTTTCTTTTAGAAGCTTTTTTTTTTTTTACCTTCTTCTATTTCTGATTGCTTTTTTGATCATTTTTATAGCAGAAATAAATAGAATTTTAATGAAATCCAATATGTAGCCAGAGAGAGCTACATACAGGGTTCCAAATGCAGATACAATGGCAGAGCTGTTCATAAATTTAATGCCTCCACGTTGTTCATCTCTAAGTCCATTCACATTTTACTTTAATGGTTATTCTCTTATTCTCCAAGTATGGACACAAAGTCTGTATGATACAAAAAAGCTATTATGACAGGTGAAAATATCATGTCAAGCCCACCTTGCCTAAATAATATTTTCTAAAAACATTTATTGTTGTTTTCAGTGGGACAGCAGAATCCATACTAAAAAAAAATTGCCAATGGTGTCAGAATTCTAAACTGTAAAATTGAACTCAAGGACATTTTCTAAATTCATTCAGTCACAATCCTTAATAATATTAGGGAGCATACAGGAATATTAGGCAGTTGTTCAAGTCTCATTTTGCTGTAATAACTCAGGAACCAAGCCAGCCCCAAATGGCCCGGGCGACCGTGTCGTGCGCTCTGGGTTCTGGAAGGGAGCTTCCCTTTGGCAGTTGCCATTTGACACTCAATCCAATCTCATAAGATCCGGCGTGTCTGCCTTATTCTTCCATTAGAGATGCTGTAATTTTTCCTCCTGCGGATGCCAAGATCTTGAGACGGGCATGAAGTAATGCTCTGAGTCACCACCACCTAAAAATACCAATACCAAAGTCAAGACACATAGCACAGTGATCATATTATATGAATAGGAGAGTAGAAAAGGGAGAAGAGTCATTATTTTTATTGAGGAGCCCTTCATCCCTAGGGCTGCCATGGATGAGTTTTAGGACATCCGTGCACACCTTTAATGCTTTTTACTGTTGACGCTATTACAGACGGCCCTCATCCCGCCCACTATGCCCCCTCCCTCCTCAACCTCCCCCCCCACCCCCAGGCCTTCACCACACTATTGTCTCTTCACCGCACTATATGGGTTGTGCATATATGGATATAAATTCTTTGGTTAATCTCTCCCCACCTACCCACCCTTGCCAGCCCACCTAATCTCTTTTGTAAAGCATTAGAACAAATTTTTCCCAGGGCTCTTCTTTCACAGCAGTGGACATTTTATTGCTTTTAAGATACAAACAGTACCCTGGCGTTGCTTTGAGGGAATTTCTACTTGTAGCCCCTGGCCTTGGGTGCAGCCAAATCCACCGAGACCTCAGTTTCAATTTCATGGCTTCAGCGATGATCATGAAAAAAAAGACCGTACCCTTTTAGGTAATGATGTTTACTTTGAATTTATATTAGTTCACACAGACACTCCATCCATGTTTTTGTTCCCGCCCTCCGGTCCAGTTTAAGAACCCATTGTGGTCCTCAAGTCAAAAGTTTGCCCACCCCTGGCCTAGGCTGTTAGTACAGATCCAAATAATGTGAATTTGACAGGCTGTCACTGCACTCTGTTCTCGTTTCCCTTGAACTCGGTGCGAGAGTTATTTGACCTCTTTCCTGAGTCTTTTCGTAGTCGGGTGTGACTTAACATCCAGGAGAACCAGACGGAGCCCAGGCCTGGGTGGCGTCTTAGGAGAGGGTTCCAGGGAATCCTGAGAGGGGTCTTTGAACTCCTCTAGTCCAAAGATGAAGATCCCAGTCGCTCTGACCCAAGGTGGGAGGACCCTGCCCGGCTCCAGCCTGGCCCTTCACTGACCCTGCCCTTTGTGTGGTAGCTGGTTCCCCCTGGTGGGCCTGCTGTGGCCACCTGCCAGGTGATGCTGGTGAGGCGAGGAGGCTGCATGAGGCCTGACTCTCTGGAAGGCATTCAAGAAGTGCTGTTTGGGTGCTTTCCTGTTTGGGGTTTTCTCCACGCCCTCCCCTCCCCCACCTTCTGTCTCTCTTACTTTGCTGTATTCCTACATCTAGGCAAGGAAACCATGAGGGTTAAGCCTCAGCAGTTCAAGACATAGGCGGTCAGCCAGAGAGCGGTGCTTCTCCAACTCTGAATGTGCATGTGAATATCTCAGATATCTTTCTTCTTTTGAGAGATTGGTGAAGTTCTTTACTGAGATTGTGGCATCAAACATGGGAGTTAGGACTTACACACTACACACTTTATTCAGAAGAATATAGGCAAGTGTATAAAAATATCATTTTGAACAATAATACTTATAGACAGCTCAAAAGCTTACCATGTGGTATTCCATGGACTTCCCCAAACAGTC